AGCTCGGCGGCACCAGCGTCCCAAAGCGGGGCGAGCCTCGCGTTGAGCAGCCCCCGCAGGGCGGGCAGGGATGGGTGGGAAGGACCCAACGCTGCGTTTCCCACCCCAGGTGCTCCTGGAGGAGAGGAGGGGGGGTTTGGTTCCCCCGCACCAGAAGGGATCTGAAAGCCGAGGGACGCACAAAGCCGCCCTCCCCGCTCACCCCAACTCCCGGGAGGACACGTCCCACCAGGCCACGGAGAACGTCTTCCTCCACCCCAACCCACGCCAGAGGGGGCCCGAACGGGCCACGGCGTGACAAACCCCAACCCTCAGGGGTTGGCAGAGAAAGGACCCAAGGCCCAAACAGCATCTGCAGCCTCTGCACGTCGTGTGTGTGTGTGTCCGTGTGTGTGTGTGTGTCCGTGTGTCCCCTCCCTCGCCATGGCTGGAGTCAGCACCGAGGAGAAAAACCAACACCTTGGCCTCGACCTCACGTCCTCGACCTCCGGCGATTAGCGGAGCCCGGCGGTGTGGGGAGCAATGCCTTGTGGTTTTTAAGGGACGGGGGTGACGCCGGTGCCGGCGTGCGTCAGCAGGAGCCGGCGAAATATATACCCCGCGGCCGCCCCCGGCGGGATGAGAAGCCGCAAAGCTTCCCGCCGCCCTCCGCCATGCCCGGCAAGGCGCTCGCCCTCTGCCTCCTGGGGCTCCTGGCTCTCTCCTCCGCTTGTTACATCCAGAACTGCCCCATCGGGGGCAAACGCGCCGTCCTGGACATGGACCTCAGGAAGGTACGTCCCGGCGGGCTGCGAGAGCGCCTCGTCACCTGCCTTTCCCCCGCTTTTTTTCCCCCTGCCTCCTTCTCCCTCCCTCAGCCCAGGGCTCCGGTGAGGGAAAATGGTGGGAGCAGGGAGGCGAGGAGCAGGGGAAAGGCTCAACCTCTCCCGCAGGTGCTTTCCCGCCAAAATCCCCCCCTCGTCTTTCTTCCCCGAGCAGTGCCTGCCCTGCGGTCCCAGGAACAAGGGTCGCTGCTTCGGTCCCAACATCTGCTGTGGGGAAGAGCTGGGTTGTTACCTCGGCACCCCCGAAACGCTGCGGTGCCAGGAAGAAAACTTCTTGCCGACGCCCTGCGCGTCGGGACGCCAACCCT